ATTTTTATCTTTACAGTTCATCCTAATGAGAGTCCCCAGAGTCCAAACCATCAAATGTCATGTGACAGAGTACAGGATAGGGAATGAGTGCTGCCCATTGTGTCCTTCTGGTATGTTCCAGTTCATTCAAATTNATATATGTGACAGATATGTATTTATCATTACTATTATGTATTCTTCTTCTTAATAATAATAATAATAATAATAGTACTAGTAGTAGTAGTTAGTAGTAGTAGTAGTAGTAGTAGTAGTTTCCCGCAAAAACGTGAAGAAATTGTGACAACTTTGCTGAAACATGTTTGAGCTTTCACGGTGTCCGTAGTTCATCAGACAAGCGCGCCGAACAATCGCGTGCTTGTCACGCGTGTGCTTTCTCCGTGCTCATCACGAGCACGCGCGTATTTTGCCGCGTGGGCGGGGCGGAGCGGCAAGACGACGCAGGGGGAACCGTATCTGATGGGGAAACGCGGTTTTACGTAACACCTGTTCTCCCCAAGCTGCTCTCTGGACCTGAGGGTTTCGTGCACCCACAGCCTCTTCTTCGTTGCTGCTGACCAAAAGCTGGAGCAACAAACAAATGACTAGACCCGGCAACCCAGCCGGCGCAAATGCGCTAAACCCCGCAGCCAGCGCAGCGCAAATCGCTTCCTATCTGAAAGGCCCATCAGGTGGATCTGCGGCTCGCGGCTGATGCAGGAGGGGGGCGGGGCACTATCCAATCTCAGACACTACTCTGTGGGAGAAACTACGGAGCCCCCTGAGTGTCAGGGTAAAAAAAAAAAAAAAAAAAGCCGGTGGAAATCCGTGCGCTCAGATTAAGAAACTGCTGCTCCGGAACCTTCAGAGTTTTATGCATAGGTCGCACCTACAAGGTAAGTTTAGTCAATTAATTGTTTATATATATATAAACAATTAATTGACTAAACTTACCTGTACAGTAGGTGCGACCCACCTATATATATATATATAAACATGTAGACTTAGTGCAGTGCGATTCTTTAATGAGCATGCTTTAGAGCAGGCATCCTCAAAGTCGGTCCTCGAGGGCCACTGTTCTGCAGGTTTTAGAGGTTTCTCTGCTTTAGCACAGCTGATGATTGCAGTTCAGCAAAAGCCTGTTAATCAATTATCAATGTAAATCAGCTTTGCTGGAGCAGGGAAACCTCTAAAACCTGCAGGACAGCGGCCCTTGGGGACCGACTTTGGGGATGCCTGCAGAGCTTGAACTGACATCAAACTCTGAAGGTTCCAGAGCAGCTTTGTGGGCACGGAATGCAAAGCAGGGCACACAGTTTATTGATCCTAGCGCACGGATCAATAAACCGAGAGCACAGTTTATTAAGCAATAACATCACAATACAAAAAATATATAAATTTAGTTAGAAGTAGCTACTATAAATAAGGCATTTGCCGAAATACGGCAAGAAAAATACCACAAAAAATAATTAAATACCAAAAAAAGTAATTGAAAACCTACATGAAAAAATAATTTAGTGGCTGCGGCCAGTAATATGCCGTGCCATTTGCCAACGAATCAGCGGAACTGCTACAACGAGCCACAAGCCACCAGAACTGCCACCGAAAAAAAAAAAAAAGAACTGCCACCGGAAGTGCTGCAACGCAGCCACTGCCACGAGTTGAGCTCGGCCCTGCTGCACAAAACCCTCTTTCCACTGGCCGCCAGGATCCAGGACATAGGGTGACCAACATCCGTATTTCCCGGGACATATCCGTATTTCACGTCCTGTCCCGGGCGTCCCAGGTGTTTTTTAGAAAGTGAGGAAATGTCCTGATTTTTTAGATTACCTTAATTGATTGTGATTAAAATGAGATCTGATGGGCCTCCAGTTCATTATGGCAGCAGCTGTCTGATCTATGATATATGCATATATATGTCTGCATTATAGTAGAATACAGACTTCAATTTAATTTATGATTTTCTTTTATTTTATAGGTGATGACTTCCTGTTGCTGATGTAACTCCTTCCTTCACCATCAGCAGGATGGTGTCTGCCATTACAGAAAACTCCAGCGGTCCTTCAAAAAATGAACCTCCAAGGAAACAATGTCTCAACTGTCTTTCTACTGGTAAATTAGCCAGTTACACCAATCCAACGCTTTTATAATACTGAAAAAATATGGGTTATTTTGCTTGATTTTCATTATGTTTTTCTAAATTTTCTATCTGCCCAGCAAGTTTCTTCGATCTACTCTTCCGTAATCTCCTGCTGTGCTTCCTTAACTCCAGGGTCATGCTGGCTGGCTTCTTTGTCTCGGTTCTGATGTTGTTTCTGATTGTGCTTTTGCACTGATGTCTTGCTAATTTAGTGATTTTTGAGTCCAGAATCCTGTCTCTCCTTACCTTTGTTGTCAGAGAGAATATAAACTTAGGTACGCAGAAGCCAGCAACTTAGTTTCGCTTTTGAAAGTAGGAAAAAATGATTTGAAATTGCCCCATTTTTAATCCCTATTCTTTGTCTCAGATGACCATTCAGTGTGTATGACTTTCATCTGGGAGTCTGAGGGTTCAAATCCCCCCAGGCCCTTTCTTTGTGTACCGTATTTTCACGACTATAAGGCGCACTTAAACGTCTTTTTTTTCCC